CCTGTCAGTAGATGGCGCTTGCTTGGAGGAACAGGCTACACTGTTGTTTTTATGTCTTGTTATCAGCTCTTGTTATCAGCTCTTGTAGAGAGAACTCTAGTGCCTCAGGTGGTGGGTGGGGCCCTAGGACTTCCAGGTGTGTCCTTTTCTCCCCTTCAGTGAGTGCTAGTCTAGCAGAGAGTCTGGGCGGAACTGGGTTGGGTAAGCCTGCCCTCAGGCACCACCAGTGTTGTTAGCAAGGGTCAAAGTTCTGTTCTCTGCTTCCAGGCAAAGCTAACAGGGAGGGGCTGGAATGGCCCTGCTCAGTCAGAGAGTCTGTGTGTGGGGGTGGGGCTGTCTGAGACCTGCAGTCTGGAGCGGGCCTGGCTTCTTTCCACTGTCCCCAACTCCTCAGCTACTCCTGGGCCTCTGCCAGCAGGCCAGACCACACGCCACCAGGCCTCCCCTGGCTGTGCTGCCGGCGGGGAGGTTCCCTTCGCAGGAACGCCACCTGGCTGGCACATGGCCTCCTTTTGGAGGGAGGTTTTCCTCTAGACCCTGATCTGCCCCTGAAGGCATGCACACCTCAGTAGGCTGTTCACAAATATCCCTTCTGTGCCCCAGGCAATGCGAGCCTCGGTGCCACGGGATGTGGTCTGCAGTCTGACCTCTGGTCCCGGAGTGAAACTATTATCCCAACTAGGAGAGCAGTGCAGTCCATCACCCACAGGAGCCCACACTGGTGTCTATGTCTCTCAACCTCAGGGTCTGCCCCGTTCTCCTGCGATCACCGTGCCAGCAGCACTTGGGAGGGCTGGCGGGTAGAGAGCTCACAGTCTGAGTTTCCCTTAGTCAGCTATGGGGCCCCAAAAGGGAAGGTCCTGTTCCCTGTAGGTGCCCTCCGCTGGTGGCTATATTTTCTCTCAGTCTCTCTGCAGCTGCAGGTAGGCGGGAGGAAGGAGGAGATGAGGCAATATGGCGCGCCTCGTTGCTCGGGTCTGTGCACAGGGAGGTGCCGGGAGGGAGTTGGGAGCCTGGTGCCACGTCCACTACTGGCTTACCGCTCACTGGCAGTGGCTGTCACTGGGCTGGTGTCCGCAGTCTCTCCATTGCTGGGAGCCCACCAGCAGTCCGGGATGCAGGGGAGGGGAAACAGCCGATCCACCTCAACTTCCCGCTGGTCTCTGGGCTGCTCCGGGGGTCCCAGCTTCCAGTTCTCCTCCGTGACCTCCTCCTGCGGAGTCTCCCAGGGTCTCAGATACTCCTCCTTCCGACCCTCATCCGATGTAGGCTCATCTTCTTGCTTCTTTCTTCTAATTTCTGCTAGAATCTGTCTTTTCTGCAGAGACACTCTGTCTGGCAGTGTTTCTCATCCGCCATCTTCTCTGGATCTCCCCTACAGTAATGTTTTTGAGATTCATCCACTTTTTGTATGTATCAATAGTTTGTTCTTTTTGTTGTTGAGTTGTATTCCATTTTATGGATATACCACAACGTATCCATTCATCTGTTGTTGGACTTTTGGGTTGTTTGGAGTTTTAGGCCAAAATGAGTAAAGCTATTGTGACCATGCATCTGCAGTTCTTTGTGTAGACATTTAAAAAATATTCTCATGGGTAAAAAACACCTAGGAGTGGAATTGGTGGGTCAGATGGTACTTTACAAAAAAGTGCCAGACCCTTTCCAAATTTGGACCATTTTGCATGCCCACCAGCAATTGAATAATTTCAGTTGCTTCACTTTCTTGTCAACATTTGGTATTATTTGCCTTGTTAATATTAAGTGTCAGCCTTTGGTATTAATCTGTTTCTACAGAAAAGCCTGCTGATATTTTGATTGTGTTTACACTGAATCTCTGTATATCAGTTTGGGAAGAATTGACATCTTAGTAATACTGATGTTCCTTGTCTTATTAATATATTATGAGATTACATCCTGATAAACCCATTATAAGTTGAAAATATCACAAGTCAGTTTTTGAGGAGCATACTTAATGTATATCACTTTTGTACCATCATAAATTAGAAAATTTGGTAAATTGAACCATTGTAAATTAGGGACAGTCTGTATTTGGTGTTCAGGTCCCTGAACATGGTATGGTATATTTCTCTGTTTTGGTCTTCTTTAATTTCACTTAACAATATTAAGTAGTTTTCAGTGTACATATCTTGTGCATAATTTATTTTCCTAATGTAAAAGGTATTTTTCGAAAAATTGCATTTCCAGTTGTTAACATGTAAATATAATTGATTTAAAAATCTTGATCTTTAGTCTTGTGATCTTATTCTGGCAACTTTTTTGAGCAGGTGCCTTAGAATTTTTTATGTATATAATAATGTGAATAAAGACTGTTTCTTCCTTTCTAATCTATATGTCTTTTATTTTTTTCCCTTACTCATTTTATTGCAAGTACTAAGACCTCTAGTACAATATTGAATAGAATTGATGAAAGTAGATATCCTTGTATTGCTCCCAATTTTATGGGAAAAGCAAGTTTTTTACCATTATATGTAGCTGTAGGTTTACTGTGGATGCCCTTGATTAGGTTAAGGATGTTCCCTTCTATTCCTTCTATTCCTAGTTTGTGAGAGCTTTTTTCTTTTTCCCATGAGTGAATTTTTAATTTTTTCAGTTGCTTTTTCTGCATATATTGAGGTGATCATATGAGTTTTCTTTTTTTGTTCTGTTAATATGATGAATTACAAGGATTGATTTTTCAAATGTTAAACTCACCTTTTCTGGGTAAACTCTACTTTGTCATGATTTGTTTTAATATACTGCTGGATTAGGTTTGCTAATAATTTTATTACAGAGTTTTGAATCTTTGTTCATTTGTAGTTTTCTTATGTCTTTGTTTTGGTTTTGGTATTTGGGTAATAATGCTGGTCTTATACAATGAGTCCTATTCCTCAGTTTCTTAAAACAATTTGTGGGGGGTGTGTGTGCTATTTTTCCCTTGTTTGGTAAAATTAATCAGTGAAGCCTTTGGATCCAGGTTTTAGTTGCAGTTTTAGGTTTTTTTTTTTTGAGATTTCAAATTATGAATTCAATATCTCTAATAGATATAAGGCTATTCAGGTTTTCTGTTTCTTCTTTTGTCAGTTTGGAAATTGTATCTTTCAAGAAATTGGTTCATTTTACCTAAATTGTGGAATTTATTGGCATGAATTATTCATAATATTCTCTCTTTTGTTTTTTAATGTTTGTGGGATCTCCCCTAGGTAATTTGTGTTTTTCTGTAAATATTTTTGATCATTCTGTTGGAGGATTATAAATTTTATTGATCTTGTCCAAAAATAGCTTTTAGATTTACTGACTTCTCTTTACTTTTTGTATTTTATTTGATTTCTATTCTTCCTTACCTTTATTTATAGTGAGTTCATTTATAGTGGGTTCTTTATATCGATTTATAATATGTTCTAGTAAAAGCTCACTTCTTTTACTAGATGCTTAAGGTGGAAGTTTAGACCATTGGTGTGAGACCTTTTTTCTTCTCTAACATAAGCATTTAAAGCTATAAATTTCCTATTCACTGATATATCTGCAGTCTCCCATTTTGATATGTTGTGCTTTCATTTTAATTCATATTTTCAACATATTTCAAAATTTTACTTAGAATTTATTAATTTTTTTTAGTTTTCAAGTATTTGGGAATTTTTACACTATCTTTATGTTATTGATTACTAATTTAATTCTGTTGTGGTTTTGGAGTTTTAGGCAGTAAGAGATGAACATGGGACTACTTCATTTGAGAGGGAGACTGGTGGGAATGGGAAAAGGGGTTAGATACCATCTGCTTGTGGGGCTCTTTGCATTTCTTTTCTGACTTCTGAGGGGCTCTGAGGTTCTGCTTGGGATTTTGTGATACATAGGCTGAAATCACTGCCATAGAATGTGCTATAAATTTGTTTATATGAAATGATACAAAGATGAAGAAGGTACTTGGAGGAAAGCAACTAGTACATCATTAAGTGGTTGTTTTCAGATTAAGCACTTTAAAAGATTTGCTGTATAATTAAAATATCCAAACAAATGAAGCATTAATGGAAACATGCATTTTATTATGCCGCATAAATTGAGAATGAGTACCAAGATAGAAAAAACAGGAGTGTTTGTCTAGTCCAGATGAAAATATTTGGTCCTATACACACTTTTCAGGAATGTATAATTTCAGCGTTTCTTGGAGATTATATTTTTGCATAAATGGTAACATTTATTATTTCCCTTTAACACACTCTTCATTATTGATTATAAAGCTCTGTAATGCAGATAGTTTCTGTTAAAGAAAATAGAATTAGTAGGCCTTTAACAAAATTGTTAGAACTAAGTAGAATGATAGAGTCAATGCCTACTGTTATACCTATAATATTTTAAGTGGGCATAGAGGTGATTCCTGACAGCTACCTAAATGCTTTCTCTTCATTTAGAGTAGGGATCACAGAACCATGGCCCATGAGCTAAGAATGGTTTTTTACCTTTTGAAAGGACTGTAAGAACAAAATAAAGAAGAATCTGTGTCACAGACCAGTGTGGCCCATAAAGTTTAACTTATTTACTCTCTGGCCCTTTATAGAAAAGGTTTGCTGATTCCTTATGTCAAGCAAGAAACAATTCAAATTTAAGAAGGGTTTCGCCATTATAGACCACTTCAGAAAGGAAAGGATAGTAACAATGACTGTTGGACCTTTCTTATCTTTTCTTAATTAACTTATCCAAGGGGCTGTCATCAGAATCTTTTCTCTATAGTGACCTGTGTATGTCTAAATGGGGGAGTTTGATATTAGTCTATATTTGAAAATACCATTACACAGAGAAGACTGATAGTGAATAAACTGTCCATTTATTTTTCAAGAATAGTATTCTTTAGAGTAATGAACTTCATGTTAGGTTTGGTATTATACTACGTATAGTTCTCACATTAGTTTGTAGATACAGCTTAATTTTTAAAACAACTTCAAATCACTTCAATTTTGAATTATATATGTACAAATTAATTTTATATTGACTTCTGTATTTTGCAGGATGATTGTCTTTTGAAAGTATGGTACCCTATGACTGGTTGGAAGTCTTCAATTATACCTCAGGATCACCATGAAGTGAAAAGGAGACAGGCTTCTACTCAGTTTTCCTTTGTTTACTTGGCACATCCCCGAGCTGTGACAGGTTTTTCATGGCGTAAAACTAGCAAGTATATGCCCAGGTAAGATAAATGTATCACATAACTTTAGTTTGTATGCTTATATGTTTATAAAAATAATGAAAATAAACTCCTTTTATTATTGACATGGACATAGCATAGATTCTGGAGTCAAGCTGCCTAAATTCAAATCCTACTGTTGTCATTAGCTTCATGAGCTTTTGACTAAATTTCTTAAGCTCTCTATGCCTCAGTTTTTCTCTCTGTAGAATGAGGACAGTAATAGTACCTACCTCAGAGAATTGTTGTGAGACTGAAATGTGTTTGTGTGTGTGAAGTGCTTAGTACAGGCCTTAGCACATACTATGTGCCAGGCAATGGAACTGTTAGTAGTAACTGCAGTGCTAGAAGATTTAGCACGAAAATGTTTACAAGTTACAGGAAACCACACATTGAGGGTTATTAAAGAATAGTAATAAACTGTCAATAATATGCATGGTGTTAAAGTATGCAACATACAGTGAATAAAGTATCCAGGTTGTGTGTGTGTTTTTTTTTTTTTTTTTAACTCTTAGGACTGCCAACAGAACTTTCTCAAAAGATTTTTTTATTATAGTTTTTCCTTTTTTTTTTATTTCAGCATATTATGGGAGTATAAATGTTTAGGTTATGTATGTTGCCCTTGCCCTCCTCCCCACTAGTCAGAGCTTCAAGTTTTTCCTCATTTTGGCATCGTTTAAAGATATTTGGAAAATTAAATAAACTGCAAAACAGCTCATACAAATGATTCCTGTATTATAAACAGGTTTAAAAAAAGCTGCGGGGCACTCAGAAGCTCACCTAGAAATCTATTCATTCTTGAGGGAGAGTTATTTCAACTACTAAATAGATCTGAGAACTGATTACACCTGATATTAAAGATAGCACACATTATAGAGATGCTCAGTAAATGATGACTTAGTAAAGTAAAAGGAAAATTTATATATTTTCAGAATCCAAATGAAAGGTTCATTCTGCTTAAGTTATTTGCATCTATTCTTAACATCTGTAAAATACTTTACTTTTGACTCAGATTCTATATAAGCATTTTTAAAGGGAGAATGATTTTTTTTCTTTTATAACAATTAAGTCACTATGCCTGCTTGATGTAATGCCATTTTTACTTAACGGAAATTGATTTATAGTTTGAAATGATATTCTTTTCACAGTTTTATTGTGAAGATGCTCATTTGTTTACTTATCATAACTGGATTATAGGAAGGATAATATAAAATGGTACTACTGCCATAAACCAGATAGTTTAATTACATTTAATGATCTTTTATTATGGTCATTCTGTAAGTTGCAATTATTAAGTTTTCTTTTGTTGTTTGTTTTGTTTAGGAGATGCTAATATTCTTTTAGAGCCTAGTTTTCAAGCAGAACATGTATAATCTGGCATTAATTTCTATTTCCTTTTTCAAGGCTGTTTTCTGGTTTTATGATGGTCACAGTGCTACTGTGTCAGTTTTTTTTTTTTGAGACAAAGTCTCACTCTGTTGCCCGGGCTAGAGTGCCATGGCATCAGCCTAGCTCACAGCAACCTCAAACTCCTGGGCTCAAGTGATCCTCCTGCCTCAGCCTCCCGAGTATCTGGGACTACAGGCCTGTGCCACCATGCCCGGCTAATTTTTTATATGTATATGTATTTTTTAGTTGTCCAGCTAATTTGTTTCTATTTTTTAATAGAGATGGGGTCTCAAACTCCTGAACTCAATGATCTGCCTGCCTTGGCCCCAGAGTGCTAGGATTACAGGCGTGATCTACCATGCCCAGCGTGATTTCAAGCTCTTTGATTGATTACTTTTTCCCGTACAGTGTTTTGTACTAATGTCATCTTTATATATGAATAACCAAATATTAATAGCCTTTAATTAATGGATGGCATTGATATTCACATTAACCTCTATTTATTTCTCTTTGTTGTCAGGGGTTCTGTCTGTAATGTGTTATTAACTTCATGCCATGATGGTGTGTGCCGGCTCTGGCAGAAACCTTATTACCAGAAGACTGTCTTTTGGGTGAGCAGATTTGTGAGACTACCACTTCTAGCATTGCCAGTAATCTTCCTCAGGCTGGAAGACATAAAGACAGAATACAACATGCTCTTGAGGTATTATATTGTTTAAGTTTTATCTTTAAAATGAATTTGGAATATGCAAGTCTGGTGGAAATTAATAAGATACAGATGGTACACATGGTATATGTAATGATGAAATTAGTAGGAATAAATTCTCATTTACGCTTGTAAGACGACTCCATTTTATACCACTAAGAAGCCAAATATAGGTAGTAATGCTCTCAGATATGTATTATAGGTAAATAATATAATTTTAATTCCTTTGTTTTATGTGTCAAATGTGAAAATCTGTAGGAGAAATAGCTTTAGATTAAACCATATAAAGGTCCTTGAAATTAGTTGTAATTAAAATATTTTTCTTTTGTTTCATGAGGATTAAATTTATTTTTATTCTAATTAAAAATGTCTATTTTGTTCCTTAAAATTAAGATATTCTTTATTAAGATATTAGACACAAACTCATGTACTTGCTTTGCATGGTTGAGTATTTTGAAAGTGAAATAATTTTTCTAATTTTAAATACAATATGAGATAAAAGTACTCTATAAGAAATTAGATTATTTGTAATATGAAGTATAAACTATTATGTCCAGTATGATTAGGAAATAAAATGAGATAGACACATTATTCAGAATTACCAGAAATGTATTATAGTATACATATATTACTATTTCTTATGACTTTTTTTATTATATAAGTAATATATGCTTATTCTAAAGTTAGATTAAGAAAGGCGGGCTGGGCACCGTGGCTCATGCTTGTAATCCTAGCACTCTGGGAGGCCGAGGCGGGAAGATCATTCAAGGTCTGGAGTTCCAGACCAGCCTGAGCAAGAGTGAGACCTGTCTCTACTAAAAATAGAAAGAAATTAATTGGCTGAGTAAAAATATAAAGAAAAATTAGCCGGGATGGTGGCACATGCCTGTAGTCCAGCTACTTGGGAGGCTGAGGCAGGAGGATTGCTTGAGCCAGGAGTTTGAGGTTGCTTGAGCTAGGCTGAGCCATGCACTCTAGGCCAGGCAACAGAGTGAGACGCTGTCTCAAAAAAAAAAAAAAGCAAAGGAAAAAAATATGGAATTCATAATCAGCTATTCAATTATGTGTGTATGTGTATTTTTTTAATTTATAGAATTGAGATCATATTATGACTAATGCTTTATAACTTCTTTTTATACTTAATATGTTATAGTCAGTAATGTATATTACTGTTTATACTTTTACATTATGTATTTACATTAACAGTTTAAGTTGCAAGCTAAAGTGGCTTTGCTGTTTTACCAAGTAGAAATATTATATGAGTTTGATAGGTTAAGGAGGTGGTCCTTGAAAGTTTTATTTAAAGTGGCTGCTCTGATACTGTCTGTGATTGGGCACTATTTATATATATTTTCATGTTCGAAACATAAATGAAATTAAAAGCAGAAGCCAGACAGCTACAGTTATCTTTTATTTTGATATTGAAATTTAGTGGGATAAAGTGCTTAATTTTTAACTAGATGTTTACAGTCATTATGTGTACTACAGAACATATTTTATCTTCAAATTACATAGGAGCCTTTGGAGACTAAGGGCTTTTAGACATCTTTGTATCCTCCATTGCACCTAATATATTGCTTTTCAAGTATTTGTTAAATTGAATTACTGTTACATAAAATAAAACAAAAATATAAGTAAACATGTAATCAGTGATTTGACTGCTTCGACTGTCTTTTAATAATGTTATTAATAATGTTAAAATAGTTTCTAAAGAAAAGGTCTAATTGTCTGACTTAGGAGCTGTTTTGCTTTCTGACATCCCTTCCTAAAAACTCCTAGCTGGTAGGTCTATATAATTATACATTAATTCTTAAATTATACCTTTTTGTTCCTAGGAGAAGATAACCAGTCTGTATTACATCAGTCTTGCCAATCGAAAATAATGGTAAAGGTCAAAGATCTAGTGAAAATAATTTGATAGTTTGGACAGCAGGTCTCTAATGCCTATCTTAATGCTGTTACCAAAGAAATAAGCAACTCTTGCAGGGAAACAAGAGGCAAGGAACACACCATGGAACTGATACTGTTTTCTTTTTTTTTTTTTTTTGAGACAGAGTCTCACTTTGTTGTCCAGGCTAGAGTGAGTGCCGTGGCGTCAGCCTAGCTCACAGCAACCTCAAACTCCGGGGCTCGAGTGATCCTTCTGCCTCAGCCTCCCGAGTAGCTGGACTACAGGCATGAGCCACCATGCCCGGCTAATTTTTTTATATATATATCAGTTGGCCAATTAATTTCTTTCTATTTATAGTAGAGACGGGGTCTCACTCTTGCTCAGGCTGGTTTTGAACTCCTGACCTTGAGCAATCCGCCCGCCTCGGCCTCCCAAGAGCTAGGATTACAGGCGTGAGCCACAGCGCCCGGCCTGATACTGTTTTCTAAATGCAAAAGGATAAGGGCTGTAGTAATCGAAAGGAAGGGCCAGATGTGTGGAGAAAGACTTTAATGGGGAAAGAATTGATGACATGTTGCACTTTATTTAATTGAATGTGGGGAACAAAGGACAGTAATTATTATGAAGTGTGATATTGGAGGTGGGTTAAGTTACGGTATAAGGAATTCCTGTGAGATGGGGTTATGATGTGAAGAAAAGATCATGCTAAGAGTGGCATGGCCCCATGTCCAGAATAGTCCACATGCTCAGTTGTGCTAGAAAAGAATTTTCATCACATGGATATGAAGGCTGTCCAGAAAGTATCCAGCCATTGTTCATAAAAATGGTTTGCATGACATTGATGTAACCTGGCAGCCAAGGAGAGTAGACTGTAATATGCATGCGTGAACAATGACTTCACTGGACTAGTCAGTAGGGCACTAGACGTGGTTGAGTGAGCATGTGTACTGTGTGGCCATCACATTCAAAATAACTGAGCCAGTAGAGCAAGGAATCTGCATCAAATTTTGCATTAAGGTTGAACATTCCTCCGCGGAAACCATTGGGATTATTCAGAAGTCTTTTGGGGATGTTGCAATGAGTGCCACACAAATAAAAGTGTGGTAAAAATGCTTCAAAGATGGTCGAAAATCTGTTGAAAATGATCCATGTTCTGGAAGGCCTGCAACAAGCAGAACACCTGAGAATGCTGAACATGTATGGGTTAGGTTAAGAGATGCTGGGAGAACTGTGTGAGGTTCTAAGGTGCCTACTTTGAAGGGGAATGAGGTGTCATTGTCGTATGTACAATGTTTCTTGTGTCTTCTTCAATAAATGTCTCTATTTTTCATATTACATGGCTTGATACTTTCTGGATAGCCCTCCTATATCTAAATTTAAACAAATCCCATAGGTCAACACTTTGATGAGACTTTTCCTGTTCTGTACCCTGTTTTCTTCTTTGTAATAGAGATCATATATTTAATTGTTTAGCTGGATGTTTAGTTCTAAGTGAGAATTTTGGGAGGCAATATTCTTCTTCCAAGTAGAAAGGTTCAGGATTTCTTTTTATTTTTTATGTTTATTTATTTATTTTTTATTATTGGAACTAGTAAATCCTATTTCATTACTGGGATATCCTGAAAAAGTACCTTTGGACCTCCTAATATAAATAGGGTTTTTATTCATGTTTTTGAAGCTAGCATGGATTAAGTATTTTTGAGCAACTGCTTTTTGCCTTGAACTATAAAATTTATAAGAACTGTAGAGAATATATCCAGAATTGTTCTACTGTAATAAAATTTTTTTCTGAAGTGATCAGGTTTTACAGAGAGGAAAGTCTTAAAATCCTTAATAATCAAGAGTACTTTGGATGGCGTTTATTAGACCTTCAAGAGTTGATTCAGCAATTATTTTTCTATTTTAGACAATACACCATTTGAAAAATTTAAGGAAAGGACAAAGGAGGTCTTCTGTTCTTGTAACTCACACTGACTTAACACCTGATCAGATGGCAACACATGAAGTTCAAAGACATATTTCCCACCATGCAAATGCACTGTGTCATTTTCACATTGCAGCAAGCATCAACCCTGCCACAGGTAAAGGATAGTGAAGTTTTATTCCTTATAAATATGTTGAAATCAGGTAAGTAAATAGAAAAATGGGGCTACTTTTTAAACTGTTTGTTATTATTCCATATTGCCTTTTAAAATACATCTGAATTAGAATAGGAATATAAAGTACCATTTCTTAAATTGGGATATGGGATTGTCAGAGGATAACTGCAATAAGTATTATTGAGCATCTTTGTTTGTCTAGAATATAACAAGTGTTCCCAGTAAATTAGAGTTTAGTTGAACTTGGTATCACAAATAGTGGCAGCCTGGTTAATAGCAGTAATTGCCTTCCCTTACTTTTTTATTTATTTTTTTATTTTAGCGTATTATGGGGTACAAGTGTTAAGGTTACATATATTGCCCATGCTCCCCCTCCCCCCTTGAGCAAGAGCTTCAAGCGTGTGCATCCCCCAAACGTTGCACATCTCACAGACATTCAAGGTCTGGAGTTCCAGACCAGCCTGAGCAAGAGTGAGACCTGTCTCTACTAAAAATAGAAAGAAATTAATTGGCTGAGTAAAAATATAAAGAAAAATTAGCCGGCCATGGTGGCACATGCCTGTAGTCCAGCTACTTGGGAGGCTGAGGCAGAGGATTGCTTGAGCCCAGGAGTTTGAGGTTGCTGTGAGCTAGGCTGATCCATGGCACTCTACGGGCAACAGAGTGAGACGCTGTCTCAAAAAAAAAAAAAAAAGCAAAGGAGAAAAATATGGAATTCATAATCCAGCTATTCCAGTTATGTGTGTATGTGTATTTTTTAATTTATAGAATTGAGATCATATTATGCACTAATGCTTTATAACTTCTTTTATACTTAATATGTTATAGTCAGTAATGTATATTACTATTTATACTTTTACATTATGTATTTACATTAACAGTTTAATGTTGCATAGCTAAAGTGGCTTTGCTGTTTTACCAAGTAGAAATATTATATGAGTTTGATAGGTTAAGGAGGTGGTCCTTGAAAGTTTTATTTAAAGTGGCTGCTCTGATACTGTCTGTGATTGGGCACTATTTATATATATTTTCAGTGTTCAAAACATAAATGAAATTAAAAGCAGAAGCCAGACAGCTACAGTTATCTTTTATTTTGATATTGAAATTTAGTGGATAAAGTGCTTAATTTTTAACTAGATGTTTACAGTCATTATGTGTACTTACAGAACATATTTTATCTTCAAATTACATAGGAGTCTTTGGAGACTAAGGGCTTTTAGACATCTTTGTATCCTCCATTGCACCTAATATATTGCTTTCCCAAGTATTGTTAAATTGAATTACTGTTACATAAAATAAAACAAAATATAAGTAACATGTAATCAGTGATTTGACATACTTCGACTGTCTTTTAATAATGTTATTAATAATGTTAAAATAGTTTCTAAAAGAAAAGGTCTAATTGTCTGACTTAGGAGCTGTTTGCTTTCTGACATCCCTTCCTATAAAACTCCTAGCTGGTAGGTCTATATAATTATACATTAATTCTTAAATTATACCTTTTCGTTCCTAGGAGAAAATAACCAGTCTGTATTACATCAGTCTTGCCAATCTAATAAATAATGGTAAAGTCAAAGATCTAGTGAAAATAATTTGATAGTTTGGACCAGCAGGCTCTAATGCCTATCTTAATCTGTTACCAAAGAAATAAGCAACTCTTGGCAGGGAAACAAAGGCAAGGAACACACCATGGAACTGATTACTGTTTTCTATATGCATGCCTAGCTCACAGCAACCTCAAACTCCTGGGCTCAAGTGATCCTCCTGCCTCAGCCTCCCGAGTATCTGGGACTACAGGCCTGTGCCACCATGCCCGGCTAATTTTTTATATGTATATGTATTTTTTAGTTGTCCAGCTAATTTGTTTCTATTTTTTAATAGAGATGGGGTCTCAAACTCCTGAACTCAAATGATCTGCCTGCCTTGGCCTCCCAGAGTGCTAGGATTACAGGCGTGATCTACCATGCCCAGCGTGATTTCAAGCTCTTTGATTGATTACTTTTTCCCGTACAGTGTTTTGTACTAATGTCATCTTTATATATGAATAACCAAATATTAATAGCCTTTAATTAATGGATGGCATTGATATTCACATTAACCTCTATTTATTTCTCTTTGTTGTCAGGGGTTCTGTCTGTAATGTGTTATTAACTTCATGCCATGATGGTGTGTGCCGGCTCTGGGCAGAAACCTTATTACCAGAAGACTGTCTTTTGGGTGAGCAGATTTGTGAGACTACCACTTCTAGCATTGCCAGTAATCTTCCTCAGGCTGGAAGACATAAAGACAGAATACAACATGCTCTTGAGGTATTATATTGTTTAAGTTTTATCTTTAAAATGAATTTTGGAATATGCAAGTCTGGTGGAAATTAATAAGATACAGATGGTACACATGGTATATGTAATGATGAAATTAGTAGGAATAAATTCTCATTTACGCTTGTAAGACGACTCCATTTTATACCACTAAGAAGCCAAATATAGGTAGTAATGCTCTCAGATATGTATTATAGGTAAATAATATAATTTTAATTCCTTTGTTTTATGTGTCAAATGTGAAAATCTGTAGGAGTAAATAGCTTAGATTAAACCATATAAAGGTCCTTGAAATTAGTTGTAATTAAAAATATTTTTCTTTTGTTTCATGAGGATTAAATTTTATTTTTATTCTAATTAAAAATGTCTATTTTGTTCCTTAAAATTAAGATATTCTTTATTAAGATATTAGACACAAACTCATGTACTTGCTTTGCATGGTTGAGTATTTTGAAAGTGAAATAATTTTTCTAATTTTTAAATACAATATGAGATAAAAGTACTCTATAAGAAATTAGATTATTTGTAATATGAAGTATAAACTATTATGTCCAGTATGATTAGGAAATAAAATGAGATAGACACATTATTCAGAATTACCAGAAATGTATTATAGTATACATATATTACTATTTTCTTATGACTATTTTTATTATATAAGTAATATATGCTTATTCTAAAGTTAGATTAAGAAAAGGCGGGCTGGGCACCGTGGCTCATGCTTGTAATCCTAGCACTCTGGGAGGCCGAGGCGGGACCGTCTTTTAATATATGGTTGATTGAATAATGTTAAAATTATTTCTAAAAGAAAACGTCTAATTGTCTGACTTAGGAGCTGTTTTGCTTTCTGACATCCCTTCCTATAAAACTCCTAGCTGGTAGGTCTATATAATTATACATTAATTCTTAAATTATACCTTTTTGTTCCTAGGAGAAAGATAACAGTCTTATTACATCAGTCTGCCAATCGAAATAAGGTACAAGGTCAAAGATCTAGTAAAATAATTTGATAGTTTGACCAGCAGGTCTCTAATGCCTATCTTAATTGTTACCAAAGAATAAAGCAACTCTATGGCAGGGAAACAAGGCAAGGAACACACCATGGAACTGATACTGTTTTCTTTTTTTTTTTTTTTTTGAGACAGAGTTCACTTTGTTGTCCAGGCTAGAGTGAGTGCCGTGCGTCAGCCTAGCTCACAGCAACCTCAAACTCGGGGCTCGAGTGATCCTTCTGCCTCAGCCTCCGAGGTAGCTGGACTACAGGCATGAGCCACCTGCCCGGCTAATTTTTTTATATATATATCAGTTGGCCAATAATTTCTTTCTATTTATAGTAGAGACGGGGTCTCACTCTGCTCAGGCTGGTTTGAACCCTGCCTTGAGCATCCCCGCCTCGGCTCCAAAGCTGGATTACAGGCGTGAGCCACAGCGCCCGCCTGATACTGTTTTCTAAATGCAAAGGATAAGGGCTGTAGTAATCGAAAGGAAGGCCAGATGTGTGGAGAAAGACTTTAATGGGGAAAGAATTGATGACATGTTGCACTTTATTTAATTGAATGTGGGAACAAAGGACAGTAATTATTATGAAGTGTGATATTGGAGGTGGGTTAAGTTACGGTATAAGGAATTCCTGTGAGTGGGGTATGATGTGAAGAAAAGATCATGCTTAGAGTAGGCATGGCCCATGTCCAGAATAGTCCACATGCTCAGTTGTGCTAGAAAATTTTCATCACATGGATATGAAGGCTGTCCAGAAAGTATCCAGCCATGTTCAAAAAATGTTTGCATGACATTGATGTACCTGGCAGCCAAGGAGAGTAGACTGTAATATGCATGCGTGAACAATGACTTCACTGGACTATCAGTAGGGCACTAGACGTGGTTGAGTGAGCATGTGTACTGTGTGGCCATCACATTCAAATAAACTGAGCCAGTAGAGCAAGGAATCTGCATCAAATTTTGCATTAAGGTTGAACATTCCTCCGCGGAAACCATTGGGATTATTCAGAAGTCTTTTGGGATGTTGCAATGAGTGCCACACAAATAAAAGTTGTAAAAATGCTTCAAAGATGGTCGAAAATCTGTTGAAAATGATCCAGTTCTGGAAGGCCTGCAACAAGCAGAACACCTGAGAATGCTGAACATGTATGGTTAGGTTAAGAGATGCTGGGAAACTGTGTGAGGTTCAGGTGCCTACTTTGAAGGGAAGAGGTGTCATTGTCGTATGTACAATGTTTCTTGCTGTCTTCTTCAATAAATGTCTCTATTTTCATTTACATGGGCTTGATACTTTCTGGATAGCCCTCCTATATCTAATTTAAACAAATCCATAGTCAACACTTTGATGAGACTTTCCTGTTCTGTACCCTGTTTCTTCTTTGTAATAGAGATCATATATTTATTTTTACTGATGTTTAGTTCTAAGTGAGAAGTTTTGGAGCAATATTCTTCCTTCCAAGTAGAAAGGTTCAGGATTTCTTTTTATTTTTATGTTTATTATTTATTTTTTTTATTGGAACTAGTAATCCTATTTCATTACTGGAATCTTAAAAGTACCTTTGACCTCTAATATTAAATAGGTTTTTATTCATGTTTTGAAGCTAGCATGATTAAGTATTTTTGGCAACTTCTTTTTGCCTTGAACTATAATTTATAAGAACTGTA